TTCATGATGAAATGTCAAAGCATACTGAGCATCTTTCTCTTTGACACCATGTCTGAAATCCCACGTGATCTGTCAAATACTAATGCATGAAAATCCTAACCTCAAAAAAATCACCCGTTATATTAAATTATTGAAATTGGCCTGTTTTTTTCTATGTTTGTCGTCACGTATCGTACTATTTACTGCCCCAGTCTTTTTTTTTTTAAATGTTTACTGCGCAATCTTTGGGCGTATGGCCGCTGCATTCTTGCCTACATATGTATGTAATATACATATACATACTGGTGTTGCTATTTTTAGTCACAAACCTTAAATTGCTTAATCTTGTAAATTTGTAAATTTTATATAGGCAAATATAACATTTTATTGTTAGTCACTTTATTTTCCCTTCATATATGTACCTACATAATCATTCATACTTTATAAAGCTCTGCATATCTTTCAAAAATAGCTTAGAATTGTCCTCTATCAATTTATTTGCTTATTATGAATGTCTGTTGTTTGTTGCTTGTTTAACACGTTGCTTAAAGCAGTTTTGTGAAAGTTATAATTTATGGGCATGTTGGACATGCTTGACCTTGATTTGATAACATCTATGAATAGATTTTTATACTGAGTATGTATGTATGTGTACTGGTGGCAGAAATAATAGACTCGCCTTATTTTGACCAGTTGCACTAACAAATTTAATATAAACAAATATAAATTTAAAAATGTAGCTCTTTAAACCTCTTAAGAATTTAATTATCATTAAATTATTGAAATTCCATCAAGTATTGTAGGCTGTAGACGTTTTTGAAAAGTACACTTCGAATTCTTTATAATAAAGTTACTCTGGAAGGCATATTGTTCCACTGGCTAGCATACTTAGCAGCTCAGCTTGCAAGGCATTAAATTGATTACGTGGGCGCTGGTTGTGGTTTGGTTTACTGAGATTTCACCGGAAGGAATTACACTGACACCTTTTGATTCGATCTTCTCTGGAATTTCCGTGGGGAACTTTTCTAAAAAAAAATATAGTGGGGTGACATAATTGTTTATGGACCCGGACAAATAGCGTTCGATGTGTGTAGTTAAATTGCAGCTAGCCTAGAGTTTCGAGAAGGAAGTCTAGCGCGGTGGCTGGTTGTTGCACTCTTTCCTTTTTGTTATTGAATAAATAGCACGTACCTTTGCATCCCAACTCTTGACGGTTACCGGGCCAGGAGGTCTAGGCGTCCGGTATAAAATGACTACTGAGCTTCAACTTGCTTTTGAGTATGGAGAAGTAATGTATCTCATTGGCAAATAGAAGCAAAAAGTGCAATCAACTATCAGCAAGCTGCTTAGAAACAGAATTTAGAAAAGACGTCGCACACCCGATAAAGTGATGCCCGGGAGGGTTGCTCTGCCACTTCTCCTGTGTAGCTAAGTGGGGGACGAACTTATTAAAATCATTTCTGACAATCGTATTCGCTGCCTGAATGAAATTGTTACATTTGCCAGATGGAAGCTCTACAGTACCCTCTGCGGTATAATACAAAGTAGATTTTAATACAAATCCGCCAGGAATATATGTATTTACACATGTAGCTCTTTGTGAGATTGTGGACAATGCCGTCACCGAGGTGAAGTTTACGTGCAATGATATCAGGCACTTATGGGACGGTTCTTGAAACACAAAAAAAAGAACTCCAGCCAGCATTTATGCACAATGACAACACTCCTTTCGCAAAGGAAATGTATCTTAAACTAATAGCACCGGCGCACAAAAAAAGTGGTGTGTGTTTTTCCCAGACCCCCCTACCAAATCTGAGGTCCATTTGACTCGTACACCCCCAAAATTTCGAGTAAATTGCGAAAATTGCGAACTTTTTGACACTTTTTTCGTTTTTTCATATTTACTCAAAATTTAGGAGGTGTACGAGTCAAACGAACCTCAGATCGGATTCCGTGGGTCGAAATATATGGCGGTAGGTGTGTCTGGTTAAAAGCACGCAACACTTTTCTTTGTATGTAATTATATTTTAGCTCTTACAATATTGCTAAGTTCTTGGCCGAGCTTCTCCTCCAAATTGTGGCGTGCGTCCTCTTGTTATAACACAAATGCAGGGACCCACAACTTTTTGGCGCTTCCGAATAGCAAATGGTTTTAATGAGAAGCTTTTCTAAGGCAGAAAATGTGGTCCTACTGGTTATTTTCCCTAAAAATGACAATGGTAGTATTGCCAGCTTCTAATTAACATACATAAGGAAAAACTAAGATTATTAACATAGCTATCCTTACAGGACACTGCGGATTGCATATGCTAATGCATATATGTATACATATGTACATATAAGTATACTTTGGTCAAATGATCTCTATCGCTTTGAGAGAAACTCAGCCAAAGGTACACTAGTGCACCTATTCTTTGAGTGTGGACCATTTCAAGAAGACGTGAGAAATGGTGTAGGTTTACTGTGGGAAAAATGAGGCCATACACTCCCCAAACTCAAGAGTTCTTCTAAGCATTGTATAGACTTTAGGATGAGACGAATGTCGTAAAGAGTGTACTTGTACTTCTTCTTCTTATCTATCTTTGACTAATTGTTTTTCCGGCAAGCGATTTTTACATTTCGATTTATAAACTATTTCAGGCGCTAAAATTATATTAGTTTCTGTTCTAATTATTACTTCTATTTGAACGTTATTATGCTGATTACACACGGGACAACCGTTGAAGCAACGTGTTGAGGCAACCTGATTTTCTTGTTCAATACACACGAGGCAACTACAATGAGGCAATCATTACGGAAACCTCAGTAGTATGTGCTCTTTGTTTCCTACTAAATACCTGTTTATCTCAGTTATTTTCAACGAACTAAGCCAATAAAATTAAAATTAAATTACGAAATCTCTATCCTAACGATTGATTTTCGTTATACTGCAAGCCTCTTTAGGCTTAATACAATATTTCCGTTATCTTCTAAGCGCTCTTACCTCGTCCACTTTTGGCAGCGGGCCACACTGGCTGGCTGTCATTAGGGTAAAAAGCAGCAGTGCAACAATGGCAAAACTGTGAAACACTTTCGGCAACATTTCCCCGCTAAATATTTGCAGTTATTTATGATTTATTATGTTTGTTTTGCGCTTTTGAATTTCGCTGGTGGCTCCAAATGTATGTTCGTGTGCTTGTATGTATTTAATCCTTTTAGTGGTGAGTTTGCACACAAAAAAAAAAATCACTCTGCTTTCAACAATGTGTGTGCATGAAAAGAATATTTACTTTAAGCGAGTTTTTAAACTCTACAAACAGTTCTTTGTTCACTAATGTGTTTGCGCGTTCTGCTCTTTTTTCGGTTTTTTGCAACACTTTCTTCCGCTTGGCGTTTAATGCTTTCCCTATTTTGCTTTTTGATTAAAATTTTTCTATATAGTTTTGTGTTTACTTCTGTTCGCGAATTTTTTTATTTTTCGGCACTAAACACCGTTGTATGTATGTATTTTTACTTGTTTACTTTTGCTTCAACAATTTTCTTTCTCGTGCATGCCGCATACGCCACGTTGTACCGCCGCCGCGTTTAGACTTTTCTGTGTTCTGAGCGCGAATGACAAATTCAAATTATCGGACATTCTGCTGCATGCGTCCCAATTTATATGCGAGCACCGATGTTCGCATTGTTTGCACGACCAGTGCGACTACATACAACGAGCACGACAGCAGAGATAACTGCCACAGTCGTAGTGACAGTCACAGCCACAACCGCAGCCGCAGTCAGAGCCAGAACCAGAGCCACTGCTTCTTCCTCTGCCCCTCCGTCGCTGGCCGGTGGTATCTGCTTTAGTCTGTGGCGAGGTTGAGGTGCAGTTAGTAGTATCGCACCCGCAGCTACAACGTTTGCGCTGTGTTGCATAGTGGCTGAGCTAAGTTGCATAGTGGCGCTGATGGCTGTGTCTGCAGTCGCTTGTTTTTTTTTGCTGCCGCCCAGTCAATGGCCATTGCATTTATCTCCGTTTTCTCGAACTCTTTCTTCTCCTTATTGTTTATCTGCAGCATTTTTTATTTCCTCTTTGCCATTGTTTACAACTTTTTCGCACGTCCCGTCATCAATGCGCTTTTTTATTTAATCTTTTGTTTTGCTTTTGCTGTGCTGTAAAATATTTTTTTGCCACTTGTTTATCACACTTTTTTATGCTCCACTTGCATGTCCAGTGTATTTGTGTTGGCATATTTGTTGTTGCATATTTTTCACGCACTGCATATGTACATACATATGTATGTATGTATATATTTATTTATTTGATTCTGTTTATGTACTCGTCGCTTTGCCGGCGGCAGCACGCTGCCCAGCTGCGGTGATTGTTTTCTTCCTCCTTTTTTTATGCGATAATGCAATAAAGAGCAGCATATTTTGTTGCCTTCCGTAAATTTTTTGCAATATTAACAGGCAGCGTAAATAGGAGGGCCGAAAGACTTTATTTTTGGAAACTTTTTTTCAAGCATAACACTAATCTGGCCTTTTTGCATCGTTTGATTATGTTTCCCGTAGAAAATTTGGCGTAAATTTTGTTCTGTCCTAGCGGGAAACTAGCATCGCTCAAAAAATTCTCGGAATCGAGCTGTAAATTATTGAAAAGTCTTTCCTCCTCCGGCATTTTCCATTAGATGATAACCTATTCATTCCCATCAATTCATCGCCTTTCTAACTCTTCTGGTTATCCGGAATATCCACTGAGCGGCAGCGAAGCCGGCAGCGAAGAGCTGGCAATTTAATCTGATAAATTCCAGGCTCAAAATTTGGAATCTCAGTGAACTTTGCCCAATCCACACGTATGGAGTTTGTGTATTACTTCGGTAAAAGACTTCTCGGCATTGCTTATAGCGCTCCATCGAAAATACTGTGAGAAGGACTGAAACCTTTCAGGAGCCAAATGAACACAGTGTGGGTTTAGTTCGGGAAGATCCACAACATCAAATCTTGAAATAGTCCCTTGATAAGCAAATCGGCATTTGCCACCTTGCAGTCGATTTCAAAACCGCTTTTGACAGCACGCAACAAAACTGTTTGCGTGCCGCCTAATGCCACAACTTTTAGCTCCGTTTAAATTTCTAAGTGCCGTTCAGGGCCCAACAAGGGTTTAGAACGTGCTACCCAACTTCGCGTCGTTCTTCAGTCTAATGAAGTTTGTCTCTTACAGCTCTATACAAATTTTAAGCGCAGATACGTATGCATTTCAAAAAACTACGCCTAGTACCTCATCTAAATCCAAGTTCCGGAGAAAGTTCAACAGTACATTTGGGGATAGGGAGTGAATGTGCATAAGCTGTGGCCACATCGAGCATAAACTTCTCTCACGTCTGCTGCAGACTGCATCACACTCGGTGAGGATGTGTAGAGGTGTCTCGCTGGTTAGGATTATGATTTGGAGGCGTAATGCCAGTAGGCAATCTGACATTTTACAACTTAGAAAAGGACACAAAAAATTTGTCTAGCGATAATCGAGGAAAAGACAAAGTACTTCGTGGCAATATACCAATGGTCTGCGCGCATTGGTAAACACGTCACTGTTGGCAGTTATAGCTTTGAAGTAGTGAAGGACTTTGTCTACCTGGGATTCAGTGTAAATACAGCGGCTCTACCTGCGATATCGACAGGTGCTATGTCAAGCATGACGTTAAGGGCCAGAGTGGGAATACTTTAAGCCGAACGCAAAACCCTTCGACGATTTCCTCCTTTGCAAAGTTGATCTAGTTGTATTCAAGGTTGCCTTTGCTTTCCACTCTTGGGTGTCAATATATCTTCTTCGGTGCCCGTCGCCCATGAAAAATTGCCCTTATAAAATTAGGGTAATAATTTGAGATTTGATTTTCAATTGCATACTAAGCCCAAAATAATAAATCTAAGAGTTATTTTTTGCTTCGTCGCTGGGCTGATATCACTGGTTGAGGAAAGTGTGGCAGTCAGACTTAGGGGCATTGGTTGCCTGACTCACTCGGGGTCTTGACACTCTAGCGTTTTCGGAAGCTTCGTTTTCATCCCTGATAACTTGGATCAGTGCGTGTCTAGCCCGGCACCAGCTAGCTTTTACACGGTTGGGACGGAAGATTGGGTGGAAGAGTCTTTTCTAGGGAGCTCTCTGTCAACCTAAAATTTAGGCTTCCTCAGGCGAAAGTTGCTGCTATCAAGGAAGCAGCCGATTGGCTGCTGTTGGACGCTCTGACTGTAAGAAAGGTTAAAATCTCCTCAGACAGCCAAGCGGCAATCAGAGCCTTAGACTCACTTACGATACGCTCGAAGATTGCTGAGAAATGTCTTCACCTGCTTTCAATCGCGCGGCACGATATCGCAGGAAACTATGCGGCTCATGAACTGGCCAGAGACGGCGCCCCCTTTAGGCAATATCGCCAAGAGAAGAGAGACTGGGAGCTCCTTTGACTAACTTGTGGATGTTTCATTCTAGTCGAGGGTGGACTGGGGCGGTCTAAGGATCTTCTTAGGCTCGCGAAGCCAGATCTCTCAATTATTGTAGATGTACTGATTGGCCACTGTCCTATCAGGATTCACGCGGTGGAGAACCCTAACCTAACCTAACTAAGGTTGCTGCAGCAGTTGCCCCATTTGTATTCAGCCTAAAATTTCTGCATACCTTTCCTAGTTTTGTGTTACAAGTACAACAAATTTTTGGATGAGTTTATTTTTCGTCGCTGGCACTGATCACTTTATTCCAACTTTAACTGCCGCTAGCAGCGCATGATACGATGCCGGTTGTTGCGGCTGTAGGTTCACATTTTGCGCGCCTAATTGTTGCAATTATTTGCATACAATAAAACCGCCTCAGCAGCTCAATGCTGTGGATATAAATAAGTGAGTACGTGGTATGCGTTGTGTTGTATTTTTTTTTGCGCTCGCCGAGCGTCTATCTTTTGCGAAATTAGCACTCATTACATTATTTATTATTTGATATTTCTACTTCTTGTTCTTCTTCTCGTTGTAATTGCAATTCCAACTAACTATTTGAATGCTGCAGTCC